AAATTCTCTGAATTTTGTGGCTTATCTGGCTTTTGGTTATTGTTATTTATGTGTCCAAACATGGTGACTCTGTTTCATTATTTTATTAGTAACTACCACATGATTGCCAACTAGCTATTCTTTAGCTCATACTCATAGGGACAAAAAAAATTACATTTTTTTAAATTTATTATTGATGCATTAGGGTTTTGATTCTTTTGACTTTAATGAAATTTGACCAATTTTTAAATCAAATTTGTAATTTTGGGTAATATTGAATTTTTAAAAAATTAATTTATTATTTTAATAAATAATATTTAAAGCGGTTTAAGAAAGTATTTCAATAGTGAAATGATTGTGGTTAGACGGTGGAATTTGATATTTAGTTACTGTCAAATAAAAACGTTAAATTGTAAATTTAGTCCTTATAATCGAGGTATTTCAGCTAAGAAATGCTCGATTAAACTCAATGTATAATTAATTTAAGATAATTTATAATCAGATATATTGATCCAAACGCTCAAATTTTCTCTGATCAACTTTGTCAATTAGTTATCTATGCTACGTGTCAACGATTATTCATTTCAATCAATCATTGCTCGAGCTTTCTTTTGGATAAGCCCTAAGGTCCCTGTCGGTCTAACTTAAGCAACTACCAATTTTTTTTTTTTTTTCTTTTTCTCAATTGAGGAGACATTGTTTATGTAAATACAAAATTTGCATACTTTTTCCATTTCTACTCAATTTTAAAAAAAATAAATATAAATATATATATATATAAAAAGTCAACTCACTAGGGACTACCCTTTGGAAGGGCCACCCAAAGGGCAATAATGGAATACCACAAATTCATAGTCCTACCCATTTTTTTTTAAATAAAAAACATATTTCTTGAAATTTAAATTATATTTGAACTATTTTAATTAAATTAGGGAGATTAAAAAAAAGTAATAAAAAAATAAATAAAAGAAAAGGGGACAGACAATTCAATGAATCTTATCAGACCATTGTGTTTCTCAACGGTTGGAATCAAATCAGACATGGGTTGGGATGTTTGGTCTACGGCCCTCTCTTTTGTACGTTTCTCTCCCCTTTCTGAATTTCACCTCACGTAAATATTATGGACCGTTAAAATAATATTTAATTAATATTTTAAATTTTAAATTTATCTTAATTAACTTTTGAAATTATATATATATATATATTTACGAAAAATATAAATTCGAAATATATTTTGTGCATTAAAGCCAAAGTAACCCTTTTTTGCTTTTTTTTTTTTAATTAAAAAACCTCCCTCTATTAAATTTATTAAAATAATATAAATTTTATAAATAAATAAATAAAAGTAGTGGCATACTTGTAAATATACGTAACTTCAAAACGTGACTGGCGTTAAGTTAGTTCATGGATTGGCACGACAGTTGGAAGTACCCTTGTCACAATGACTTCATCGGTCGCTCTAACTTCAACTTCAATTCCTTCTTGACCTCCACTATTGATTATAGCGTCGTTCTCTGCTAATGGATATTTGTAATACCTATTGTTAGGATCACCAATAGCTTGAGTATCCGAACCGTCTTAATACATCACTTATTTATGATTTACTTTATTCTAACAAGGCTCGAGCTTTGAATTTCATAGGTAAATTGTTGTTTGGACGGGAAGTTAACAACTTCGTTAGCTATAACTAATTAGGGTTTCGTTTCATCGATTTAATTAAATCTAAACCGAAAGAACAATATGGTAGGGGGAATCACATGTCTAAGTGGTGAATGGTGGTTTTATTAACTTTAAAAATATATTTATTTTATTTTATTTTATTTATTTATTTATTTATTTTTCTCTTTTAGGTTTGCTTCCATGTTCTAAGGCATAAAAAGTGGCTTTTGCAGCCCATGGAAATGAAAAAGAGGCAATTTTTTAAAATTAAAAATATTTGAGTTGCTTTTAAAATCCCATTTCTTTCACATGGCCATGTTTCTTAAGTTAGCAAAATAGTACCATCAATACATACAATAATTTAGTTTAAATTAGAAAAATATGTATAACCAAATTAAATTATTATTTATTTGGACACGTCACATCTTAACCGTAAACGATCAGTAACATAGCACGTGTCGGTAAATAATTTGACCCGAGTATTTCGAAGAATACTCAGTAAATGACCCCACGAGGTCATGCAAATGCAAACACATGTCATCATGATTCAGGGACCTATCTCTAAAAGGTGGCCTCTAATCTCGGACAAATTGGATGTGTAGTACTTCCCTACAATGACTCACACGTGCGAGTGTGAATCTCTCGGGCGCTCGTACACACCCTGGACCCTCTAGTCAAGCTAATCTATAGCGACGTTTGGAGATCAACGGAATCCCATAGTGTCATGCGTCTCATGAACACCCTCATCATCATACGGTGCGTATTCTACCTTATTTGAAACTAGCTATTATATTTTAAATATTAATATTTTAACCCGTTCATTTCGTCCACCTCATTTGAAACTTCTTTTGATATTTTATTATATGTATGAAGGTGTCGTGTTCGGTGAATAAGATTACTTCTCAAATGGTACCTAACATATGCAGGAAAATGACAAACCCGCCAAATAGACCTAAAATTAAAATATAAGCATTTATTGATAACATGTTAAATGACTAAAATTATTATTATTTAAAATAAATTAAATATAACTTAAGAGTTTTTTAAATGAATGATGATTAAATATAGTACAATAAAATAAATCATAGTTAAATAAAAAAATTGGACGAATAATTAAAAAAAAATAAAAGAAGGACAATAATATTACATCAATGGTCAACTATTATTTAGAAAATTAAAATTTAGGAAAACGAAAAATAATAATTCTCTTAAATGATTTTATTGACTTAAAATTATTTTTTATTGCCAAATTATATATTATTTGAATAAAAACACCGAAACGTGATTGAATCAAATTATTGGTTTTTTATTGCCAAATTATATATTATTTGAATAAAAACACCGAAACGTGATTGAATCAAATTATTGGTTCACAAATGGAAGTAAAAATAAATTATCATCGATTGAGTTTTAAAGATGTTGCAGTCTAGTCCCTGAACTTTCGTGGAAGTTGCAATTTAGTCCTTAAACTTTGGTTTTAAAGATGTTGCAGTCTAGTCCCTGAACTTTCGTGGAAGTTGCAATTTAGTCCTTAAACTTTGGTTTAACGATTTAGTTTCTATTTTCTTTTATTTATACATTTTGGCCTTTAAATTTTAGTATATTACAGTTTTATCTAATTGTTAACCTTGTTTGTGGAGTTGTGTAATAAATTCTATTGAAATGTTAAAAATAATTTTATGATAATAATTAAATAATTATAAAATTTAAAGTAGGTACGAAATTGTTATAAATTGAAAATACTTGGGTTAAAGCGTTATAAACTAAAATTTAATGACTAAATTGCTAATTTCATGAAAATTCAAGGATCCGAATTTATTCAAATATAAAGATATAAATTATCATTATAAAGGTTGATAGTTCAATCTATACCTTATTTAAAACGGGAAATCTGGAAGACAGCTATGAGAAATTTATCTACGTTAGCTAAATGGGATCGAGGCTCGTCCCCATATGGGAGAGAGCTATCAGAGATTCATTTGCATTAGCTAAGCTAAATGGGATCGAGGCTCGTCCCCATATGGGAGAGAGCTATCAGAGATTCATTTGCATTAGCTAAATAGGATCGGGCCTCACCCCCCTTTTTTTTTATACATATATATATATATGAGATTTATCCACATTAGCTAAACGTGATCGAGCCTCGTTCCACATGGAGATTTATCCGCATTAGCTGAGATCCGGCCTCATCCCACTCAATTTATATATATATCAAAGCCGCGCAATAAATAATTAAAATTTTATTTCTTAAAAATTATATTAAACGTTATAACTAAATATTATTGAATGTATGAAAAATATTTTATATTTTATAATAGAATTATATTAAAAAAAATAAAAATATAAAAACTATCCAATAAAAACATGTTTAGAGGAATGTTTTTTTGCTCTTAAAAAATAATATATTAAAAAATGGAGAAATTTTTTGGCGGGAGTTTATGCGCAAAGGCTCTCCAAAACCCTCAGTTCACCGAGAGCAATTAAGAAATTTTTTGGCGGGAGTTTATGCGCAAAGGCTCTCCAAAACCCTCAGTTCACCGAGAGCAATTATACTAACAAAGTCCTTCCATCACAGAACATCCCTTATGGCGCCATTGATTCAGAAACTTTTCATTGTTCTTCCTTTCTCTCGAGGTATATTTTCTCCCTCTCTTCCCATATGTTCCGCAATGTTGTCCCCAATTCTTGGAACTTTATATTGCAGTGAATTCAGATCAACGATCGTGCGCTGTTGATCATTTTTTTCGACTCATGTTGTTGATGACGAGCCGTACTCTTCTCATTTGCGGACTGATTCTTACTCACATTTCGCATTTCGTAGTTATGGATTTCGATGAATAATTCTCGTGAGGTTCGCGATTTGATACATTCCGCAGCGTACGATCCGAATCATGGATACTTCGTTCAGCGGTAACGGTGTTCGCGATTTGATACATTCCGCAGCGTACGATCCGAATCATGGATACTTCGTTCAGCGGTAACGGTCGGTTGGAGTTATGGAACAGAGCATCACGTTCAATCAGCTTGAAGGTATGCCATAGACATAGTTTTAAATCTGTATAGTTTGGAGGTATTCACAAGCATTAAGGCATGAATTATTCGGATTGATATGAGTGTATTGTCATCATGTTGCTATAATAGCTAGAAAACTGTGTCCAGGAGGCTCGTTAAGAGTGATTATATTTTGGATCAAATGATTTTTCCCGTTTACTTGATGGACCCGGTGTGTGTTTGATTAAACTACGGCCATATTTACAAGCATATGTATTATTCCTGTCAATTCAACATGCTGGTTTCTTAAAAAGCATATTGTACTTCTGATATCATTGCTATGATGTTTTCTGAAGGCAGAGTAGGAATGGTAAGTGGCATAATACATGCGCATTCTGCAAACTATGGATGTTAATAAACAAAAGATTCCACAACTGAAAATTTCCATAATACATGCGCATTCTGCAAACTATGGATGTTAATAAACAAAAGATTCCACAACTGAAAATTTCTCATAAAATTCTACTGTTAGATATCACGTATTGTACTGGAATCATGATTGAAGTTGTTAAATTTTCATGTGGCATCATACGTAATATTAGCATTAATCTGGACGAGAAGATCTTTGTTCCAACGGACCAATGGTTCTGATATTGGGTATTCTCTCCTCAATGTAATTTTTGAGAAATAAGTCAATCTAGCATGAAAAAAAATGCCCATAAATCTTCTTTGTTAATTTTTGCTCTACGTTGGTGAGATAATTTTCATTTCTCAATAACTATGAATCTAGCTCAATTGATAGTAAGCTCTGGCTACATCTTTCATGTTTGCTTTTGTTTGTTAGTTTTTCTCCGTCAGCTTTCTTTGTGTTTGACCTTGCAACTTTATTTCCTTGTAGCCTTGGTATGCCCATGGGATTGCTGAAGCAATCATGCGTACTGCCAATCTTTCTATTCCACTGAAAGTAAGATTTCTATCTTTCTTCATCTTGAAATGTAAATTCATTAGCCACTCAGGATATTTTTGTTGCATTCAATATTTTTACCCACTCAGGTTTCCTGCCTGCTATATCTGAACGCTTTTGTTGTGCTGCGCCATTTTTCTTTATCCTACCACTCAGGTTTCCTGCCTGCTATATCTGAACGCTTTTGTTGTGCTGCGCCATTTTTCTTTATCCTAGCTAAGTGGAGAGTTTCCTTAACTTTGGCCATATCAGGATATCTTGTCTTCCCATTTTCTGTTTATCTTGAGCGTAAATAAATAATACTTTTTGGCCATATCAGGATATCTTGTCTTCCCATTTTCTGTTTATCTTGAGCGTAAATAAATAATACTTACGTGCTAGCTGGTTGAAATGTCCTGTTTAAAACAAAAATCCTCAAAGCTTTCTGTATCCTTGAAGATTTAATTTTTGACAATCCTTTCCAACAACCATAATGTGACCATAATTAGAAGTTGAGATTAACTGATTTTTACTTTGGGGGCTCCAATAAGGAAGTTTCCTTATTTGATAGGAACCGTCCCCAGTGTTTTTGAGAATTGTGGTTCTTTTTCTTTTCTTTTCTCTTTAGCAGATATGTGAGTTTTGTATGAGATGATAGTTAGAAGCCATTATTGCTAATTGTTTACGAATTTTGGAATTGAATTTAAGAAAGCAATATTTTATAGTTAGAAGCCATTATTGCTAATTGTTTACGAATTTTGGAATTGAATTTAAGAAAGCAATATTTTTCCTCTAGGTATATGGATATTCCCCTGCTTGGTGCCGGTAAGAAGAAAAAAGTTTGTTAATGACAAGGATATATAGAACCGTTAGGTGGCAAGGACGCAAGTAATCTTCTTACCGAAATCCTTAGGTTTACAAAAAAGCAGATCCTATCAAGAGAACGCTATGTGGAAGCCACAAGGAGAACAAAATCAGGAAGTTCAAAACTATTCCAATGTTTGATTTCTCTAAGTTCTTCCATCCAAATATTCCACCGATGACATTGTGAACATTCAAATAAATTAATTAGTCATAAACTTCTTTTGAAATAGGAGACTTCAAGAATTTAAACAAGTTATATGCTCTGAATCTCTAGTTTTGTTATGCCAACTTGATTGTGTGTGTGTGTGTGTTTAAACAAGTTATATGCTCTGAATCTCTAGTTTTGTTATGCCAACTTGATTGTGTGTGTGTGTGTGTCTTTTTATTTGTCCACAGTTATATGACAGGGTATAATGGATTTCATAATGTTGAATGCGCCTACTAGAGTTTACCAAAATATGACTTGTACATGTGTTGCTATATCTCGAAAACATTATGACTTGTACATGTGTGCTTTTGCGACACTTATACTCAACCATGAAATGAGTAATACCTTGTCAACCTTAATTTTTTTTTTTTTAATTTTTATGTATTCTATTGTTGACATTATTTGCCAAACTTGATTGTTTTCTCTTTATTCTTCTTTGTAACTCAGCAGCAGACAGTTTAATATAGATAGTGGTTTGTTACATTTGTTCTCTTTATTCTTCTTTGTAACTCAGCAGCAGACAGTTTAATATAGATAGTGGTTTGTTACATTTGTTGCTTCTTTATACATAGCCTCTGCATTTATGATTCTACAATGTAGTTGTAACAATAACCATTGTCCAACAGGAGACGTGGAAGAGCAGCCGTGTTGGGTAATTATGCTTGAGGTATGTTAAAAGTTAACTTGTGAAACATTTGAAATTGCAGATCTTTTGATTGGAGAAGTGTAATCAATTACTCTACGCATCAATAGTCTTGCCTTTTCCCTCAATTTCTTTCTCAGAGAAACATCAAATGATGTATGATTGCATATGCATGAATTTGTTTCCTCAATTGTTGAACATTGTTTCATTACCCAATTAAACATGATGATTGCATATGCATGAATTTGTTTCCTCAATTGTTGAACATTGTTTCATTACCCAATTAAACATGAGTCGGTCGTGTAACAGTTTTTCATTGAAGACTTTGCTGAGACGTGATTTTTTCATCTTCAAGTGGTGTTGGCTTAACTTTCTTTAGATTTTGAGTCGTATATATGCTTCCTAGACCATTAAATTGTTCATTTTTCACAGGTTCTGGACAATCTTCCATTATCTTATGTACTCACAAAATCAAGTTTCCTCTTGGATGGAAGCACAGGTTCTGGACAATCTTCCATTATCTTATGTACTCACAAAATCAAGTTTCCTCTTGGATGGAAGTATGGGTGGAAAAGCAAGTTGATAGGTATGCATGCCTGATCGCATTTAGTTTTTGCTTCTAGATGACTTCCAAAATACTAAATTTTATCTGAGCATCAAATAGGGGCAGTGAGGAAGCTTCCGATAATTCTGCCCTGCAATTTTTGAACTCTTTTCTTTGTGTTAATGCATTAAAAAATCAGTCTTTCGAATTTCTTTCGACAGGAAGACAGTAACAGAATTAGATGGTTAGGACCTAAATGGGGATATGATCATCGAGTGGGCTGCAAACGCTGAAGAGCGGTTTGGAAGTTTTCTTTTATGGCTCTATGGACAACGATTATTGTGGTAAAAGTCGTAATTTTTCTCAACAACATGTGAAGCGTTTTAAAATCGGATAAGAATATAAAAACTTATCCCTAGCAGATGCGTTTTTCAAATCGTAAAGTTGAGTAGACAAGGGCTTCGCTGTCGTAATTCCTGAGAAATTATTTTCACAGGGCACCCAGAAGAGATCATTAAACATCAAAACATTAGTTTTCGGCTGTTGCCAGTCAAGGGAACTTGGAATAAGAATGAGTAGGATTCTTTTTATTTACTTAAACTGATAATGGGTAAAAAGGTAGCTGTGGTTAACCCACATTCTTACCCCTCAGTTCCAAATTCACCGTCCCTTCCATGAATTTCATGCAATGACTTGTATTTCAAATTACTCAGAACCCCTTGTTTCTAAATCAATCTCACATTACTTATGGCTCCGACGGTTAAATTATATGCATGTTGTAAGCATTTTTTAATCTGAAATATGTTCGATAACCATTTCAATTTGTAATCTCTTAATTTAGTTTAGATTCAAGAAATATGTAAAAAGTGCTAAAGTAGCTTTAATTATCTTCATTAAAAATAAATACCCATAATTAATCATTAAACTTGTAAATACTACATTAACATTTATTTATATACTTATATATATATATATATATTAATGTTCCATCGAAAAATGAAAACCATCTTATGAAATTTAAAAAAAAAAAAAAAACTTCTAAAAATTATGCAAAGATCAAATATTTCTTCAAGCAGATGAAGACCAGGTAAATAATTTGAGAAATATGTAGTTTTCAAAAAACATAAAAAAAAAATACAAAATTCAGAATATGAGATGAACCTAAGTAGATTAAGGAATAAAATGCGATTCCCCAAATTTAAACTAATTTCAAAATCCGAAGATAAAAAGGATAAGAAAAATGGTGACCAAAATCATCATCATCATGAATAGACAACAAAATGGCACGCTATGAAGAAAATGCAAATGCAACTCAACTCCACATCATCATCATGAATAGACAACAAAATGGCACGCTATGAAGAAAATGCAAATGCAACTCAACTCCATTCTCCCATAACACAAATCTTGCAACAAACTAGTATTTAGTCGGGGCTATTACTTGCAACTGGGGACCGAGCTTCTCGTCTGCAACCTTCTCGGCTTTGACCCTTAACTTATTCAACTGCTTCTTCTTCTCGTACACGGCTTGAGCCCTCTCCTTCCTCTTCCTTTCAAGCTCCTGTGATAGAACGAAAAACCAGAAATCAGTATCATCTATTCACTTCATTCCTCTTCCTTTCAAGCTCCTGTGATAGAACGAAAAACCAGAAATCAGTATCATCTATTCACTTCATCAACATGAAAATCAATGGAGTGTAAAAACATATGGCAAAATGATGATTAGATAAACTTGGAAGAAAAAAATTATGAATAGAAACCAACATTCAATAATCATTCATAATGCGTATACCTTGATAGTGTCATAGTGGTTCCATCCCACTTCAGATGAGAGTAATAATCATTCATAATGCGTATACCTTGATAGTGTCATAGTGGTTCCATCCCACTTCAGATGAGAGTCTACCCAACAAGCAGTATTTGTGTCCAGCTTGAAGCCTCAAAACCCTAAAATATTCACAAATAAGGAGAAAACATAAATATAGAAAAGTAAAACATAAACGTTACTTACAGTATTGTTTAATTCGTAGCTCAAATTTTAATTCTAGCCCCATAATTTGTATCTAATTCTTTGTTTCTGATAAGAAAAGATCGATCCAATTCTCAAACTCACTTGAGAGCGTCGGGGATGACCATCCTTTTCATCTTGTCATATGGAGGTGGAACGCCTTCATATGCCTTCAAACGAGCAAGAGCAGCAGCTCCACGCTTTGTCTTGTGTGGGATCATACTAAAATTACACAAAAATTGTAATCAGATAAGTTGTAGACCAACAAATAGTATTCATATAGAAATGACAAACAGATAAATTAGAAAACCAAACCCCTAAACTGAAATCATGGCAGGAAAATCGTAGTTTCCTAATGCCAAATCAATTCTCAATTTCAATATGAAACTCATAAGCCTAACAGTTAGCCAACCAAACTTAGTAAACCATACATTTGGATCCGCAATCATTAATTAGAGTACATCGGAAACACAGTGTAAATCAAACAGATTGATACAAAATCATAGAAAACATGTCCTGCGCAACTGTTTAGTTCCTCATAATTCATTCAACGTTATAATAAAGCCTTTTCAATGAATACTAAGACAAGGAACACAAATTTTCTTCAAAATTTATTCAGGTAAGAACAAAACAAGTAACTCGAATATCACGATAAAATTTGTAAACGTAAGATGCAGCACTCCTGATCGATCCAGAACCTAAACAAGCCGTAGTAAAAACCGTTTTTGTAAACGTAAGATGCAGCACTCCTGATCGATCCAGAACCTAAACAAGCCGTAGTAAAAACCGTTGCAAGGAAAACAAAAACAAACAAACACACATTTTCATCTCTATCTAACTACAAACAAGCATAGAAAACACAATGCGAGAATAGACATTACCCACGGATTGTTCGCCAAAGGATCTTGGCAGGAGCACGAGAAAACACAATGCGAGAATAGACATTACCCACGGATTGTTCGCCAAAGGATCTTGGCAGGAGCACGGAAATGAATGGGACCATGAGATGGCTTGGTATTCATACGCTTCCTCAAGAATCTCATGTACTTCATCTTCTGACGAACCAATCCTCCAGAAATGCAAATTTCTTCACATCGAACAACAACCACCTTCTGCCCATTGAGAAGCTCCTTGGCGATGATAGAAGACAGCCTCCCGAGCATGTGGTGCCTGGCGTCAACGACGACGCGCTTGCTCCTTGGCGATGATAGAAGACAGCCTCCCGAGCATGTGGTGCCTGGCGTCAACGACGACGCGCTTGGCGCAGATTCCAGAACCCGACACCATTTTTGATCCTGCGGCTACTCTCTCAGTCTCTGGGAGCAGCTAGGGTTTTGGAGAGAACGGGATTGTGCGAGAGATATCAATTTGTATATGAGGCTTTCAAGTTGGGCCTTCGTTGGGGTTTCTCAAGGCCCATTAATTCGTCTTCCACCTAAAATATTTGGGCTTATCTCTAAAACTTTAGTCGACGAGTTATCTTAAAATTCCTAAAATTAATTAGACATATATTATAAAAAAATAAAAAATAAAATATTTTTATTATTTAATTAGTTGATTAATTATATATATATATATTCCAATTAGTTTTTATTTTAATTTCCATTCAAATTATTAAAAAAATTAATCAATTTTGAATTTTTTGTGAAATTTGTGAAATATATATATAAATGAATTAATATGATTTAAAATATTAGAACGAATACTGGGAAATTACTCGTTTATTATTTTAATTTTTAGATATACGTTTAATGGGTCGTTTAATATGTTATAGGTTTCGAGCTTCCAACTTTTGTGTATTATATGTTCTCGATTGTTTTTTTTAAGGAGTATATTATATATGTAATTAAAAATTAAATGTTATACGAGACACCGTTATTAATTTTAAAAAATGTTAAATATATATTAAAAGTTTATAGTAAATATAAAATATTAATTTAAAATTATGGTTAATAAAAACTAAAATTAAGATGGCTATTAATCAAAGTTTCAAATCATACCCATTGTATTTCAAGGTTGGTTTTGGATTTTAAAACTTGAAATTAAAAAAAATAAAAAAAAAAGATTAATTTGATTTTAATAAAGTTGGTTTGGTAGGTACATATGGTTGGCTATCTAGGTCAATTGTATAGACTTTTAATTCCAATTTTAAATTCTCTTCTTTTAATAAAAAAAAAAATATATTAAAAATGCTAACCAACCTTTTATTTGTTCTAAAAAAAGACATTTAAATATTTTAAAATTTCAATAATATCTTTCAACTTTCAAAAATATGTAAAAAAACTGGAAAATAAAAATAATATTTTCGAGATAAAATGCAAGGTTAAAAATATTTTTATTAATTTAGCTTAATCATGTTTCAATCATAATTTAAAATTTCATAAAATTATAAGTTAAATATAAAATTCAAATACTCAACTCGTCATTTTCACAATTTCAAAAACAAAATTTGACAGTTTTAAAAATTCAATGTTTGTGACTTATAATTACATCAATTAAAACTCTTAAATTTTTAAATAATTGATTCACTTACAAAAGTTCAAAAGATCAGATCGAACGTTACCATCAAAATTTCAAAATTAAAATTTATAGTTATTAATTTAAAACTTCAATTGATATAATCTAAAAGTTTAGATATATATATATATATA